TCCAAACCATTTAGGTTGTAATCAGAAAGCACAAGCCAGTCAGGAAATTTTAATCATTACAATATACATATAATATACAGTATATGTATAAACATCATATTTGACAGTGCAAGAGCTCTCATGACAAGCTCTTCCATCTCTGGGGCTTTGGCATCTCCAATAATTCACTGGAATTAATGGTTTTTTTGGTGGTGGTGACACTCCTGCCACTTCTGCTCCTCTCTCCCCACTGAAGGTGTCACTGGCTCACTCCAGCTGTGTAACCATCCATGAGAAATCAAACCCTCCGCTTTCTGTAACAAGAATTAAACACAAAGGTTGTTTGATTAAAGGCTTTTTTTCATGCTACAGCCACTTGCCTTCTCCCCACTTTCAAGCATCTCCTCATCAGTCACATTTCATCACCCGGCAAACATTTTTTTCCTCAATAAAGTCGTCATTTTTCCACAATCCCTTAACTCAGATGATAAATCCTGATCATCCCCTGACATCCCCCTGTTTTTAGTGCTACGAAAAGAATGAACATAATTTTAAGTAGATAACAAAATCCAGAGACAATGGAAATGGCAAACAGAGCCATTTTCATCTTTTTCAAGGAAATCAACACAATAATTATTATATTAATATGATAGTTATAACATAATATAGTTCAATTGCTGGGAAGTGTAGCCCATCATCAGGCAACTACTATTAGTCTTGAGACTAGAAAAAAAGAGAGAGCACAGTGCTAAATTCCAACCAAATTAAAAAAAACATACACACAAAACCCCAAAAACACTAAAGCTGCCCTGCAACATACATTTATCTAAGTCATCCAAGTTAAAATTAAAAATAAGTTGTTCACCCTGAACAACAAAACTGCATTGAAAGCACTGCTAAAATACACTGTGAGTGCCACACAGCACATGACCTCCCCCAGATATTAAGTTTATTCCACACAGCTTTTCTGACACAGAAATAAATAGGAAATCGGGTCACCTCTCCCTAAAAATTTCAGTCTTTGTTTGCTTTATTGTTATTCCCCCCCTCCAGTTTCTCTCCACAGAGCTGTGATGACGTTCCCGGACTGCCACTGTCCTCCTCCAGCTGCCTGGAGCAAGCAAAATTTGAGAATATAACCATAAATAAACACGAGACACGAAGCTTTTATATCTATTTCCCTTTTTTTTTTTTCCCCTCAAAAAACTGGAAAGATCGAAAATCTCAAGCAGGGATTAAAAGGGAAAAAAAAAAAAAAAAAAAGAAAAAGAAAGCCCAAACATTTCCAGTGTTCCGGCAGCACAGCAGTAAAGTACAAACTCTTATTTTAGTGATAGGAGTAGACAGCAAAATTCCAGGACAGAGGGAAAGAGAGGAAATCCAGACACAAATCCACAAAAGGAGTTTAGGCATGAATTATTTCCACTAGTTTGAGTACAGCGTGTTACAGAAAAAAAAAAAACCCAAGACAGCCTATTCTGAAGGGCTCACAGTCCACCTAAAAGCAAAATTCCACTCAGGGAAAGGATGGGGAAAAATAGTTTAAATGAAAAATGTAGCATTTTTCTGTGTTCCCATCCAGCAGAAACTGTGCTCCCAACAATATTAAGTGACTAGAAAGAGTAGGAGCTACACCCTCCTCTCAAAATAACATCTAAAATGCCCCCGGCGCTTGTGCAGAGTGTGGTTTCAGTAGGAATTGCTGCGAAAAGGGGATGAAAGCGGCCAAATTTTCCAGCACTGAAAACGCTGGAGAACTGGAGTCTCCTGGAAAAGCAGGATCACCACAGGCTGTGAGGAATAAATCAGATTTGTGACTCTCATCCGCGCAGTATTTGGACACTCCCCGAGGACCTCAAAGGTTTCAGCAATGCGTTAACAGCAGGAAAACACACCCAAAATATTAAATATTAAGCAAATTTCAATATTGGGCACATATTAATATTTGTGAGGGCGTTTTAGAGTTGCTGACTTCAAGTAATGCAGCGTGAAGGTGATCACACAGGACCTCCTAGCAGTGTGAAACCTTATGAGTAATTATATCTTCAATATTGGATTGCAGTCATTTTAATAACTCAGTAGAACAAACATTCTATGTTATATATGTCATATAGGTTTTACATATATTTTATATATTTTATACATTACATACATATGTTATGTATATTACATATGTATGTTATGTATATTACATATATAAAATACATAATACATGATAATATATCTAAATATAATAATATATAAAACATATATATAATTATGTATATGTTTTTCTATATTCTATTTATACATTATTATGTGTTATGTATTATATATGCATTGTGTACGTATTATGTCATGTATATATGTATTATATGTTATACATGCATTATATATGTTATGTATATATGTTACACATGAATTATATATATGTTATATATTATATACGTATTATATGTTATGTATGTATTATATATGTTATATACTATATATGTATTTATGTTACACATGTATTACATATATGTTATGTATATGTTACACATGTATTATATATATTATGTTATATATTACATATGTATTATATATATTATGGTATGTATTATATATGTATTATATGCTATATATGATAGATAAATAGATAGAGAGAGGGAGATAGATAGATAGATAGATAGATAGATAGATAGATAGATAGATAGATAGATAGATAGATAGATAGATAGATAGATATTACAGAGTAAACTGATGAAGTATGAGCAGTCATTCTTCTGGACTCTTCACCACACCAAAACACCTTTTGGGGAATTTTACTATGACAGGATATATAAAAAACGTGACAAGGAAGGAAGAACTGCTACTAGAAAAATTTAAAAATGCGGGGGAAAAAAAAAAGTAAATTTTCTTTTGCCCGTAACCAGACATTTCAATGTATTTCCCTCCACAACCGCTCTTTCCCTCAGAAAACACCGCTTTTTGGGGGGCGTCCACACCGCCCACAGATCCCTATCGGCGCACACGCGAGAGGCCAAGTGCAAGAGCCGGACAGCGTCGTACTTTCGCAGATACGTCCTTTATTTCTTTATTTCTGCTCCTCCGGCAGCCACAGCGCTTCCCTTCCCCTCACGTTTTCCCGCCTCCCGCCATGAGGGAGCGGCGCGAGGCCACACCCATCCCCCCCCCAACGTCCTCGCGCCGCTTTTCCCGCGCTCCGGGCCCAGGCGGGAACGCAACGGCCGCCGGTGGGAGAAACCACTGCGAGGGGGACATGGGGGGGGAGGGAAGGAGGGCAAGGAGGACGGGAAGGAACCATCGTGAGGA